ATCACAAATAATAAAGGTACTATCTAAATACCTAGGATAGAATGTTGTGTTCTGGACTTCATGTTTTTGTTTTTTGTTTTCCTTAATTAACCATGAAGTTATCTGGCGGGATAGGCTCTAGTAATTATTTCATAGTCATTTTAGCTGTATTACTGATGTTTAAATAATATCAGCTATAGCGGAAATGTATTCTCCTTAGCTTTTCATTTTGTTGATTTTCCTCCTAAATATATTGATCTGAATCATGGGAGCTTAGGCCGATATCCAATAGAAGCAGAACTTACAATGACTATGATTAACTGACTAATTAATTCTTGGGATGAGTGACAATTGGATTTTATTCATAAATTTTAAATTCGTCCTTTATTGACTGAAGTTATCTTCTGAAATAACGTCAACATTGCCGTTTATATTTGTTTCACATACTAAATTTTTACGGTGCTCGTTTTGTAGTTTAATGGACAGTTAAATGGTATTTTGTCATTTCAGGTAAAAAGGAATCACTTATCGAAACAGTGCCAAGCTAATGTACACACAAGGCCTTGTGGAAAAGTGGACTTTCTATTTTTCTGATTTCTAACTTCCTGTACATCCTTATGTGTAGCATAAAAATCATCCTAATGATTTATGACTATTCGCGAAACTAGCGAATTTGTTTTGTATATGTATTGTAAAACTGACACACATAAATATAATTAGTAGTATTGGTTATCAGCCATTGACGTATGTTGGTTAATTCATTAAGAAACGTGAAACTCTGTACACATGTTCAGTTAGAGCCTTTCATAGAAGTGGGAAGTTTCGACAGTTTGCTTTAGTTACAGTTTAAAAAGAGTTTAACCGGTGTGGAAAAAATGCGATTTCTATTAGGTAGGAGGGTTTTAAAGTAGTTCGAATATATTTAGTGACAGACCAATATTTCTGCTCTAAAAATATTTGGAAAATGTGTCGCATTCGAATGAGAGCATATTACCGGTTTACTGATAGAAACACATCACTTTCATTTCAGTTTTTTAATTACAAAGACGATTTGTTTTAAAACTCTGTAACAAATTTATGAAGTAAGGATTTTGAAGTAACCTTCGTTACGTATTGCAATAGTTTCACTGTTGCGTATAATAGAACCTTAGAATATAACTTAAACAACAGTACGATTTGTATGATTTAAAGATTGATTTTGACTTTAGACCATCTATTAGACCTGTATTACAAAAGTTGGATCAGGTTGGATTTATTGAGTAAACACAGTTAATGATGAAGAAGTTGTTATTTATTTAAAATCAGGAATAACTATAGTGTGTGTTACTGATGTTGACAGATATAAGTAGTATGTATCATCAATCGAATGTGAAATGCCCAGAGGTAGAAGGTTAAGAATAAGGAATGATTGGTGTAGAAATGAAGAGACAATGAAGTCTGAGACGACTGATTGACATTTTGCAAATAAAGTATTTGCTGTGTGGTTCTCAAATCTTACTAAGATATTCCGTAATTTTGTATTCACATATATTCGATTGTCCCCACTTATGTTCTCGTTCACTACGTAACCAAGTTTCTACTTCTTATGATTGTTTAACCAATATTCCATTGATAACTAAGAATTTCGATTTACGACTGTTTTCTAATGGTACTTTTGAATAATAATTTATTTTAGTAATTAATTTTCTTTAGAACATATCTCTTTAGAATGACTGTTCTTATTTGCAACCAAGTTACTTACACTCTTCTTCTCACTTCAACTGTTATTAATTACTGACAGTTATATATTGTTTATTACAATGACAATAAACTATTCCATTCATAAGTAATTGATGAAAAAAATGTACTCAATGTATCATTACCATATGTTCAATTTTCATTGTTTCATTCAAATAGTTCACTCATTAGTCAATATTTCAATTTTTATTATACAATCAGTATAATGTTGTTTGTAGAATATGGGTTATAAGCACTTTAATAAAATGAGACTTTCATAAGTCATTAATATATTGTAAATCTTCTTACTCTAGATACGAATATAGTGAATTTGTATATGGCCTTTTTTTAAATTAATGCCCTTTTTTATTATCAAAATCTACCATAATGATTTATTGGGCTTTTAGTACTTGAATCTAGTCATGCTGTCAAAACAAAAAATTTTATTGATTGGTGAGTAAAATAAATTAGTTACAAGCTTATCAACCGTTAACTAAGGTTATATCTGGTTACGTTTGAAATTACTGGTTGTTATTTTCTTTTCAGTAAAAGTGGAACATAAGTCTAACGCGATAATTTCATTGTTTGTTGCATTTGAATTCCCGGATCTATGATATGTTTTGTTTTGATCCGATCTTTTAGCTTTCCAATTAAGTGAAAATATGCAACTATGGATAGTGTACTGATATTCACTTTGTCAAGTGTTTGTGTTTTATTTTTTATGAAGTGATGTAAATAATAATTCACTTTTTATGAAATAGTTCATTTCACTAACTCATTTTGTATAGATTAAATATCAGGGTGAACATCAACACTGTGGTTCAGGTGAACAACGAAATCATAAGTGGGCAAAACTCTCATCGCGGATCTTATTGCTACCCATAATCCATCTATCTTGTATAGTTATATCACTCATTTTCTCAACCTAGTATCGTGGTGAATTTAACACGAAAACACAGTAGACTTAACTACTTACACCTGTTACCCCTCGTCGAGTAGCATAGGCTGCCCACCAGCATTCTCCATAGAACTCTGTCCTGGACAATCCCTTCCCGTTGCTACTCATCCTTTTGATGTAGACTTCCAATTCTCGACACAGTGTGTTCTTCGGTCTTCCTCTTTTCTGTTTTCCTTCTGGATCGCTAGTTAGTGCTTGCTTCGTGATGCAGTTTGATGACTCCTGCAATGTATATCCTATCCACTTCTAACGTCTTTCCCCAATTTCCTCTTCAGATAGAAGTTGGTTTATTCTCTTCCAAAGTAGGTTGTTGCTGATGGTATCCGACCAACGAACATTGAGTATGTTGTGTAGACAATTGTTTGTAAATACTTGTACGTCTTTGATGATGGTTGTGGTAGTTCTGGAAGATGAAGCTCTGAATAGTAGAACTGTCTTGACGTTCGTATTGAAGATTCCGACTTCGATGTTGGCTGATAGTCGTTTTGAGTTCCACACGTTATTCAACTGTATGAATGCTGTCCTTGTTTTGCCGATCGTTTCGTTTACATCTGCACCGGATCCTCCTTGTTCATCGACGACGCTGCTGACCAGTTACATGTAAGATTCTACCTATTCCAGAGTCTCTCCATCAAATGTGATTGGATTGGTGTTCTTCGGGTTGTATTTGAGGATGTTGCTTTTTCCCCTGTGTATGTTGAGACCTACTGATGCAGAGGCTTCCATTACACTGGTTGTCTTGACCTTCATTTGTTTGTGTGTGTGGAATAGGAGGACTATGTCATCTGTGAAGTCCGAATCGTCTATTTGCATGCAAGCTGTCCATTGTATTCCGTGCTTATTTTGAGATGTGGAGGTCTTCATAATCCGGTTAATCACTAGTAGAATGAAGAAGGGGGAGAGTAGGCAGTCTTGTCTGTCTCTGGTCCTCACTTGGAATAAGTCTGTCAGCTGTTCTACATGCATGACTTTGCAGTGTCATCTGTCATATGAATTTCGTATGGTGCTGACGATCTTCTCAGGCACACCATAGTGTGGGAGAAGGTTCCACAAGGTCCTCCTCCCCACACTACCAAACTCCTTCTCTTAGTTAGTGAAGTTGATGTATATTGATGAATGCCATTCATGTGGAATCCAGCCTGTTGATCTCGAAGATGGACGTCTACTGAATCTTTCATCCAGTTCAACAATACTTGAAAACCTTTCCCAGTAATGATAGCAGTGTGATGTCTCTGTAGATCTAACACTTGCTCAGATCTCCTTTTTTGGTGTATTAATGAGGTATCTTTCTTTTCAGTCTGTCGGCACTTGTTCTTCCTCTCAAATCTTCTTGAATAGAACGTGGAGCATGTTTGCAGTTGCTTCTCTGTCTGACTATAGTGCTTCAGGTAGTATTTTGTCATGTTCTACTGCTTTTCCACTCTTGATTGTTCTGATGGCCATTGTGATGTGTTCGGTTGTTGATGGAGTGATATCTATAGGTAAGTCTGTGTGTGCTTCTTCGATTTGCGGTAGATTCAATGGAGCTGGCTTATTTGAGAGTTCTTTACAGTGTTCTACCCATCTGTTCCTCTGTCCTTGAATCTCAGCGATTGGCTTGCCTTCTTTGTCCTACACTGGTCTCTCCGATTTATTATATTTCCCTACCAGTTCCTCCGTTGCGTCATATAGTTGTTTGACATTTCCTTCTGTTGCAGTTTTTTCCACTGTGACTGTTAGGTCTTCCGATGTTTGGGTCTCCCATCAGGATGGTCGAGTCCTTTGCTGAGCACTTCGCTATGATTTATTGCAGCCTGTCGTAAAACTAGTCTTCGTCGTTTTCATTGCCATCATTGATGAGTGCATAACATTGGAGAACATTCATTGTGATTTGATCCTTCTTTGTTTTGAAGGGTGCTTTGATGATCTTGGGTTCATGAGATTCCCATCCTATAAGTGCCTAACATGTTTGTTTGGAGAGCATCAGAGCCACTTGCTGAGTGTGTTGATCATTTTCTTCTTCGTGATCAGAGTACGAAAGCATATTCCCTGAATCTAATCTTTTCTGTCCAGTTTGTGTTCAATGGGTTTCACTTATTTCGAGAACTGACGAGTTGTATCTCTTCCTTTCCGTATCTAGTTGATTGGTTCTCCCATTTACATAAATTGTCCGAACATTCCATGTTCCTACATAAATTGTTGCTGTGGTTGTTAGAAGGGGCATCGGCTTTGCGAATTTAGAAGGAGATACATGTAATGAAATTTAGTACATAAACTATTAAACCATAATTTAATCAATAAATAATTCCGCTGACTGACTGATGTGCACAATTTGCTCATTTTTCATTTTTTTCTTTCCTTTTCTCAGGAGATTCTAAAATTCGTCATCATTCTGGTGATGAATATATTGATGATTTAACACCAGAGGATATTGCGAAGTACAAACTAGAAATCAATATGGATGTAAGTTAATGATATATATATATATATAAAACTTTTAATCTCTACGCGGCTATCAGTTGACATGTTCAAGTTCATTTTAAAAACATTTATTCACACTATAAACATGTCAATTTATAAATTTTTGAATGAACTACTTTACAAAATGATTAATTTCATCTATCAAAGATTGTAGTTGTGACATTTTCAGCCACACTATATTTGATCATATTTCCATAAATTGTCTTAGTCATGTGTTTTTTAGAACTATGAGTAACCTATTTTCTTTGACATCACATAGTGATTGTAAAAATGAGTGACTATCTGATTAAGAGTACAATGATGTTAATCATGATTTTATTTATAAAAATACAAGATGAATACAATGTTACAACTATTTACAATTTTATTTTCATAATATTAATAAGGTATTTATCAAATCATATTACTTAGGTCGTCGACGGAAATTACTTGATAAAAGTTAAAACATCACTCTTATCAATCGATTAGTTATGAGTTGAACAACATCATAACAAAATGAGCGAAGCCTCTTCAGGATAATATGTTTACTTTTTATTTTATTGTAATATGATCAAACGAATTCAACGTAAAATAGTTAAAATATAAAAATCTAAATACAATAATCTAGGTTTACATTTTTAAAGGAATATCATTTTCCTCAATTTACTAAATCAAGTTTACTAATAAGTTTCATAAGACATGAAACCTAGATTTTGAGGTTCGAGTAGTTTAATTTGAAAAAAGTTCATCACTATATCGAATTATGTAACCTACCTTTCATGTTATGAAATTGATCCATAGAACTCGATCAAAATCAAGGACCAACCAACATTTTAATGCTTACTTTATAGTAACTGATTAGCGGAGAAAAATCAAGTTTTATACGAGACACATTACTATTTCGGGTTTTAGTTGAAGATGATACACAAGGTCACTTTTAGAATATTTTTCTCAACTACTCAGAAAATGAACTATTTTTAGGTGATATATTATAAAGTAATGGGGGAGTTGTTGTTATCTCAGTTAAATAGATCACCAAAATTCATAGAGACAATTTAGACAAATGGTTGTTAACCTGTAATTTACTTCATATTTAACAGATTTCTTTTCTAAAATACTCAGTCGGTTGAGGCTTGATCACTTCACATTTAATACATATGGTCAACGTTTTGTATAACACCGGTTGGTATTCCACAAAGAAATATCATTTCCTATAAAATTGCAGATGTATCTTGTTGATTAGTGTTGCCGAGTACCTTTAACCATTTAACGTGAAAATGTTGTCAACCCTATACATCTAAACATCTGAAAGATAAATTTTTTTATGAGGATAGTTTCATTTTCCGCTGACTCCCTTGCTCCCACGGTGTAAGACATTTCATTTCCATTCATGGATTACTTTCAATATTTATGGAAGAGAACGTTCTAGTGTGGTTTCTTCAAAATAAATTAAATGTTTAGAACAATTTAGACCAAATATTGACACAAATAGTCTACATACTAGCTATAATGTCGTTTTTAAACCTGAAAACCAATTAGATATGGCCAAATGTTTGACTTATTAGTGATTTTAGCATCACAATTGATTGATCACTGGGTGGTGATCAATGTCATGCTTGTCTAGTCCTTATTAGTGCAGATCGAATGCTATCGATCATGTTGCAATGTGGCCACCAGTCTAGGTGACTCGACACTGCGGGCACTATGTATTGAGATTTAGATGGTGGTTGGAGGTAGTCAACAGGAAACCCTGGACCCGGGTTTCGTGCTACTTGGCACTCGTCAGCAAGGTGTACCTGTAATCTTGAGGGAACTGGTGCTCCCTGGCGGATTCGATCTCGTGTCACCCAGCTTCACAGTCAGATCGATAGCATTCGATCTGCACTAATAAGGACTAAACAAGCATGACATTGATCACCACCCAGTGATCAATCAATTGTGATTACATCTCAGTCCTACAGGAGGTCAGTCGCGACTCGGATAGCTCAGTGGTAACGTCTCTGACTGTGAAGCTGGGTGATACGAGATCGAATCCGCCAGGGAGCACCAGTTCCCTCAAGATTACAGGTACACCTTGCTGACGAGTGCCAAGTAGCACGAAACCCGGGTCCAGGGTTTCCTGTTGACTACCTCCAACCACTATCTGATTTTAACATCCTTTCCTAGTTTAATTTTCTCGTATGTTTAATTTTTACTTTTTATTGTTTCGAATGTCAAATTATTAGATTATCAAAGAATCTTTAGTTTCTCTTGGGAACAAAGACACATTAATTTTAATTAACTTATTCACATCGTTTGATAAATTGTTCATTTAACCGTTCGTTAACTAAATATTTTCACTAAGGGATTTACGATTTTATCCAAACGTTTTACAACTATTGCCTCGTTCTGATTACGGGTAAATATCAGATAATTATACTATATAATTTTATACATAATACGCTTTGAGATGGTGAAGATTTGTAGCTCAGGTGGATGATTTTGGTGGAGTTTTGTTCTCTGAGCTGGATGGAAGCTTCACGACCAAACCATCCAGCTCAGAGAACAAAACTCCACCAAAAACATAATAAGCTATTTTACTCATCTCCTATTATACCTTTCTTAATATAAAAAAATGAAACCAGTGAAGAATCATTTAGCATCTCATCTTACATGATATCTCTAGTTTATTTATGGATTCGTTGTTAACCTTTCAAAATGGTTATCTGTAAATATTATATTTGTATTATATTCAACATTTGAAATGTATTCATAGATTTTATAATAAATCAAATTGTTTATTAGGGGATTTCTCGATAAATTTGAAAATGCTTTTCGTTAAAAACTGACACGGCTCCAGAACGATCGAAAATAAACGAGCGTTGAACATCTGTTTCGTCTTTATTCAGAGCATAGCAACAACACTTTAATGAATATGGAATTTTAATTAATTATTACCGAATAGAGATTAAGTATTCGATGTCTTTGCGTAATTTAACTCCTATTTAATCTATTTCAACATTCTGAACGGTATCAATGTATGTCAATAGGCGTTCATTTGACTAGAACTTATATAATACCATACATTTAAGGGAAGTAATATTTATCATGTACATCATTCGACTATATTTTACTCAGGATCCAGGTACTCAGAAAATATTACTTGTCGTTTTAAGTATATGAAAACTAGTCACTTAGAGATAAGGGGAATTCATCATGAATAATTTTAATTTTCATCAACAATCCGTCATTTTTCTGATGTCAAAATACTAAACCTTTCCTATCTTTCAAGTAATAAAGATCGCGTAACTTTCTTGTGATTCCTTTACCCCAACTTAAAGAAGTGCTCAAAATTACTGTCACTTCAAATGACCTCTGAATATAATTTCTCCATGTCTAACTAGTTTGCTATAGAGGCATGATCTAGTGATTTATTTTATCCCACTTCGAAAATCAGCCTTAATTCTTTATGAGCTATCAACTGATGCTTGACAGTGACTTCCTTGTTGTAAATACGAATATAATCGATATAAGAAGTAAATAGCAAGGAATATCAAAGTACACTATCATGGACTATTCAGTGATATTTAATTCATAATGTTCATGACTAGCATCGCGGAACATGGGAAGTTTAAGCTGTTCGTAAAATAGTTCTCGAAAATACCTCGAATAATGATTGTGCATTTTAAACTAAAAGAACTTATGCATTTCTGAATCCAGTTTGTGTAAGTTTACTAAAAATTATAGTGTAGTCAGAGAAGCTCATCTATTATATTTCTATAAAGCTAAAACAAAACATCACATGAAAAATAAATCTAAATAGTTTAATCTATATTTACAACAACTGAGTTTGGTTCATTTCACTGATCTCAAGGCACACGTAATTTCATTTACTGAATAAAAAACTTGTGTCTTTTTTCCCTTTCTTTTAACAAATCCTTGTGCCGATGTTCACTCATATTCATCGTTTTGGACTCCATTTCTATATATGTATATACATATATAATGGGTAATATATTTCTTATCTTATGCATAAACGCAATATAATCTATGCATATTTGATTGTTCTGCTTGTATCCGATACACAATATGAATGAATCCATGCTATTATTCGTTGTTGCATTTGTTCTGTTATGGATGATTACTACTCTGTGTAATAATGATTCCATGCTCATTTATGTGCGCTTATCAAATTTTTTAAAATATTTTCCTGTTGTGGATTATATTCACTCGATCTATAAATTATGATTTAATTATGGTTTATTTCATAACACATTACTGACATCTCTCCTTCTATTTCTTTTTTTATCAATCTCTTTCTACTTTAATCATGATATCTTATACACAAATTGTATATGATATGCACAGAATTTCATTGTAGATCGGCCTATTCTACCTGATCCAATATTATCTGTACCATTATCTAAATGGCAATCAGATGATTTATTGTTATTAGTTTCTGATCCATCAAAAAAATATGATAAATTAAAAAAGATCCCTTTTAATTGTCGTTCTTTTATTAATGAATTTCAGAAACAACCACGCTCTCTACATCATCATTATCAACATCAACACCGACCAAATCATCATTACTACAATCCTCCCAATAATCGTTATTATCCACCTCATCATAAACAACCTCAAAAGAATTATTCGAATGCTCATTACACACAATTATATAATTCATCTAGGAAAGAGCCAGTTCGTTCAAATAATAAAATACGAGGTTCATACAGCAGCGGATACAATACTAAGCAATATCAAACTGACGAGGTAAGTATTCACATAACGAACTACCAAATATATTTTTCTAACTTATAGACATTTGTTGTACCCTTATCTATCTAGGCACTTCACTTTCAATCATGATTTTGTTAGTTCGAATCCCACATCATCTCCCATGGTAATAGAGTCCTTTATTTGAAAGTAATTGCTGCTGAATTCATGTTTGTTAAAATTTAGGTTATAATCATGTAGATTCTATCCATAAGAAAAAAGTTCCAGTGTTGTTCCAAAATACACCATAAACTGATTAACAAAAAATTATAGTTATCCAGGCTGGTTTTGTGTGGTAGCTGTAACTGTAAAATTTTAACGTGTCATTATTGAACGCAGTTTCAACATCCTGAAATATCTCTTGGGAAGGCGATAAAAATCACCACAGTTAATCGAACACATATGAGGTAGTAAAACCAATGAATATTTAGTTTGTATTGCAGGTGATAAAAAACTGAACGGAAACATTTATAATCGTTATTCTGAACAACTTAACATTTACACATAGAGCTAAAGATAAATACCGCAGTCAGTTAACATCTTACTTTGATTAGGATTCATAAATCTGTAATGAATTTGAACACTAAAATCTGTTGATATAGGCTGTAACCCTGATAATCTAATCTGAGTAAATGGTTTATTAGCTAATTTTTTGTGGACTTATGTGGCAGGACTGAATATAGTTGTACTGGATAAGATATTAGATAAATATACAAAACCCTAATGAGTTATCCTAATTCTGTAGGCTACTTTTGTACTGACTAAAATGACTGACACTTAATAATTGCATACATGCACACTCCATTTACAAGTGGTCGATTGTGTTGAATGTCTGTAAAGTAGCGCACATAACCATGTCCGTTCGCAGAGCGGTGATATAATTCCTGTTGGGTTAGTTATCTCAATCGCGCTGTTTGGAACGTTCGTACACTGTACTGGTAATTCGCTACTGACTTCAGTACTGTGAACGAAACTATCTCCCTCCTTTTCCTACCTCATTAAATAGGGTAAAAACACGTTTGGCAGATGAGGCTCTTTGTTGACTCAATGTAATCAATCAGACTTGTCGATTGCATATCAATAAAGACATTTACCCTGAGTGTTTACTGCCAACACAAACGATCGTGAGAAATGTATTGAAATCCAATGAACAGTGATCATACTGACTAATTCACGGTAACATAGTTCCGATTTTCGTAATTTTTATTCGGTGATTGGATATCCTCAACACTATCACAAATATTCAGTTTACATTCAACATTACATATAGCTGACAGTGGGATTTATACTTAATTGTTTGTAAGATGGCATCGCAGTTTAAATGGCATCCGGTTAACCTTTTTACAGACTGAACTATTATGGACAAATCTTTCTTAATTGTCAGTGACAGTACGGTTTAATCATCATTCATGTAAGTTTAGGATCACTATCCTCACTAAGTTTTTATTTACTTCACAAACAATTTGGAACAACTGGACACCCAAAATAATCTGCATCACATACTGAGATTAAGTACCATATTTTTATACGAGATGTCACTAAATGCCATCCATAACAACTTCGTTTCCTTAACCACCTCCACAAAAATAAACAGTGCTTGAGTAAAGTCAAAAAAGACCATGAATGGAAATGTAGACTCAGAGGTGTATTCGACCAAGTTCATATGTGTCCAGTTAGTTGACTACTAAGTGTAACAATTTTCAATCATATTCTATATAAACATGTATACGAAATATATTATTTTCCGATGTATATACTGTTTGTAGAGATAGGCAACTATCAATCTAAAATACTTTAATATTCTCATTACAGAAAAACAAGCCTAGGTGTTCCACAAACAATGATAAAATTCCAGTGAGTGGGATGAATATTAGTGAAGACAATCAAGTTGGTACTGATGAGCCGATTCAAACAAACGATCCTACTGAGGATTCCCCATATTTTGAGCTCGACTTTGCTAGCGGAATTTTCGACGTACAAATTCACGAGCGAGCTAGATCCTTTTTAACTCTAGGTATCGATGACAGTGAGCTTTCTCAAAGTGATTGCTACACAAATATATCTGAATTACATACGCATGGAATGCATCGAAGTCACTCTCTTCCGTCACTTAGAGACTTGGAAAGAAATTACCAGCCACATTCATTTGAGGACTGTACAACACCGACGATCAGCCTTAATACTGAAGGAGTTGCAGATTTATCAACGGAAGTTAATGCAGTAACTACCTCAGTAGAAAAGACAAATATAAAATCTGACAATAACGTAAATATATCGAGTGAAAATGTTTGCGGTAGTGATGTAGCACAATAATGCAATAATCTGGAGAACGAAAACCGACAATAACGCAATGATCTCCCAAAAATGTAATGTTTGGATCACTAACAGTCAAATGTATAGCCTCATTGTTTCTCTTTACCTCTTCTTAGATTTTTTACTTGTGTGACTTCGAACATGTTTTTACTCACTGATTGTTATGACATCACCTTAACTGCAATGAGATACTTCACTCGCTCCTTTGTGATTATGGAATAACTTGATTAATGATAATGTTTATTATTTGCTAGTTTTCTATGACAAACTTATTGATAAATAAAAGGCCATATCAGTCATATAACATTTTTTCGATTTCTTTAACATTTAAAACATAAACTGTACAAAAAACTAGAGCGTTAAAACCAATAAGTTAAGAGTTAGTGTATAATGATGATGATACAAGTAGAAATTAACTAACATTTGAAGAATATAAATTACCAAATTCAATTTTTGAAATATCATGCACGCAAGTGTAATCTGATGCACACAAATATTCTAACAGTGTAGCAATCAGTCAACAGTTCGATTACGTTGGAACATTTAACCATCATATTTTTATTTTCACCAAGTAACTAGTATGTCAAAAGTTATTGTATGTTTGACTACAACAAAAAAGAACAAGCATTGCTCTAGTTCACCATTTGACCCAGTTTTTAGAAATCTTAATCACTGCCGGGTAGACCGCTGTATTACAGCAGCATATTTTTTTAAACCTTGTGATATTTTTTTCAATTATTTTAAAGCAAAAGATTATTTTTCCGACAGATTTTTTTCTTGGGCCTGGAGAACGAGCAAAACACAAACATACATACAAACTATTTTAGTCAAACAACGACTAACATTCTGACAGACAGTCACTCAGCTCAAATAAAAAACATGATAGAATATGCTCTACAAGTAACCTAGCTAATGACGAATCGTAACACGTCAGAATATATGAGTGCATCTAGATACACACAAACATACATACATTGCATAAGTTGAAATTTTATAATTTTAGTTCAAAGATTATACAGAAAACGCTTCAGGTGGAATTTTGCCAGCTGAATTCATAGTTTCGAAAGCAGTTAGTGCAGCATTAGCATTCCATTCATACTCTTCTAGACACTGTCTTGAAAAGGGAATGTTCATACCGGTGCGCCGACTAAATTCAATTACCATATTTTCTTTTACTTCAGGTGCAGAAAGATCAGAGCTGAGAACATTTTGCTGTTGATTTGAGGCCTGACTGTCCTGTTTGCATCTTGTAGCCATTTCAGTAATGTATTTCTAAAATAAAGTTTTCAAGTTAGGAAGCAGTTATTTGAAGTTGAAATTGACATCATTATTATTTTTATCTGATAGGGTTATTTAAGACTAAAGAATGAGATCGTTCATTTTCAAAACAGCTTAGTAGTGTTCAACATTTTCATAATCCAATTTTCGACTAAACTAGCTACAATAAAACAATTTATTATCACTGACGCTAGTTTTATAACATGCAGAATAATGATACTAATAATTATTCAGCACTACGCGATGTTCTTTCTTGTCCTGCTTCTTTACAATTGCTGTAATTTTGCCTGCGGCAATATTTAGCACTATGAATTTAGTTAACTTCATCAAGCAGAAAAGTTCAAAAGCTAGAGACTAGTGGGACTCTTATAGAAAAAGATGGGACAATGATTCAAGTTATGACTGAGTGAGACGATGAGTGGAACGTTTCAAAGAACTCTTCAAATGGATTCTATCTACTTTGTGAATGCTTATGGTCTAAATGACTGGAATAAGACAGCAACTTTCAGCGAAGCAGAGAAAGGTATAACTAGGAGTTAGAAAATAACAAGTCGTAGAGGGTTAATTTGAGTTATTCAGTTAGATTGATGGAGATGTTATATAGAGTTTAGGGGTTGAACGTCATTTCATCTGACTGCTCTTGACCTATGATCATTTCACTTGATAAGGAATGACTGGGAACAGTAAATCTAGAACAACCAATCAAGTTCCAGATCACGTTATTGGTAAACTGACCAGATGTTAACTCCAAAACCATTCCTGAAACATATTCTTACTCATCAAAATCCGACTGAACCCATTTCCATTTAATTAGAGACGACTCTATAGATTTAGATAATGCGGCATAACTAGGTACGTGAGCCTACGAAAAACACTATTTAAAAATTGCTATTTGAGAAAAAGACTATTGTAAGGAGTAATATGAGCCAAAGACATTTGGTGTCTGTCGACTATTTCTTTTTCTTTTTTTTCATGGACATATCTCTAGGGTTAAGACTATTTTGTTTATTTATGGAGGAATTTATGAGTTTTAAGAATTGATTTAAATCTGGTCTGGATTCATATCTGAATTAACTATAGTGAGTGAAGCAGTTCAGAGTATTGACTATATAATTTACCTTGGGAATCCCTAGTTAATGCCTAACGAAATCTCGGCACGTCTATAAATAGCTTACTTAGCTTCCATTGATTCGTATAAATTCTGGTTCAGATGAGATTAACCTATCTATTGAAGAGGATAAGCTGATAATCAGTTTGCTTCATGTTTACTTATGGTTATGGAATATAAATCAGTCCTAGGCGTTTGATGATAAGTATGTTTTCAGAATTCCGTGAGTATAGTATAAAAATAGTATAAGGGTTGTAAACAATTGTGTGAGTTGTGACGGGTTGAACACATATCACGCATTAGTCTGTAACTGATCGATTACTGCGTTAAAGTTGCAACCGATTTAGATCAGCAATTTCACTATAATACCTTATTGTGGTTTTAAACATTTTAATAATATATAATTTATTGGTATACATCTATTGAAACGTGCATCGAGCCAAAGGTTTTCACATAGTTTGGCTTATAAAGTGCTGCAAGTATATGCATAACATGGGAAATTTCTTCGTAAGAACAAATGCGATGATATTTAAATAAGCAGCGTTTACCTTACACAAAGAGGTAGTTGGATTAGACACAATATAATCATCTTGCACTATATGACCACCTGGTGCGATCAGTATCATAGTTCTAGTAAAACACCGAAGGACTTTGCGAACAGATTTTTCGTGTGAGCTTGAGTTGGTGGAACTTGAACCCATAGAAGAAACCTCGTAAAAAACACCACCCATCGTAAACAACATTTGAGTTCCCTGTGAATGATGCAAAAATAATATGGAATACAAATTAGTATCAAGGTATAAAATTCCGCATGTAACTTTTCTAGAGTTACTGCAGTAAAACCATTCAGTAGAAATCAATCTTGACAAAAAAGCTGACCAGAATAAATAAATAAAATTAATTAAAACACTGCCCAGTGAGCTGAAGGATCTTCATTTAAAAGAGATAAAACGCCTTATGGTGAAAGCCGTGATTGATCGGAAGTCACAAAGCCCATGCCCCTTCTAACAACCACAGCAACAATTTATGTAGGAACATGGAATGTTCGGACAATTTATGTAAATGGGAGAACCAATCAACTAGATACGGAAAGGAAGAGATACAACTCGTCAGTTCTCGAAATAAGTGAAACCCATTGAACACAAACTGGACAGAAAAGATTAGATTCAGGGAATATGCTTTCGTACTCTGATCACGAAGAAGAAAATGATCAACACACTCAGCAAGTGGCTCTGATGCTCTCCAAACAAACATGTTAGGCACTTATAGGATGGGAATCTCATGAACCCAAGATCATCAAAGCACCCTTCAAAACAAAGAAGGATCAAATCACAATGAATGTTCTCCAATGTTATGCACTCATCAATGATGGCAATGAAAACGACGAAGACTAGTTTTACGACAGGCTGCAATAAATCATAGCGAAGTGCTCAGCAAAGGACTCGACCATCCTGATGGGAGACCCAAACATCGGAAGACCTAACAGTCACAGTGGAAAAAACTGCAACAGAAGGAAATGTCAAACAACTATATGACGCAACGGAGGAACTGGTAGGGAAATATAATAAATCGGAGAGACCAGTGTAGGACAAAGAAGGCAAGCCAATCGCTGAGATTCAAGGACAGAGGAACAGATGGGTAGAACACTGTAAAGAACTCTCAAATAAGCCAGCTCCATTGAATCCACCGCAAATCGAAGAAGCACACACAGACTTACCTATAGATATCACTCCATCAACAACCGAACACATCACAATGGCCATCAGAACAATCAAGAGTGGAAAAGCAGTAGAACATGACAAAATACTACCTGAAGCACTATAGTCAGACAGAGAAGCAACTGCAAACATGCTCCACGTTCTATTCAAGAAGATTTGAGAGGAAGAACAAGTGCCGACAGACTGAAAAGAAAGATACCTCATTAATACACCAAAAAAGGAGATCTGAGCAAGTGTTAGATCTACAGAGACATCACACTGCTATCATTACTGGGAAAGGTTTTCAAGTATTGTTGAACTGGATGAAAGATTCAGTAGACGTCCATCTTCGAGATCAACAGGCTGGATTCCACATGAATGGCATTCATCAATATACATCAACTTCACTAACTAAGAGAAGGAGTTTGGTAGTGTGGGGAGGAGGACCTTGTGGAACCTTCTCCCACACTATGGTGTGCCTGAGAAGATCGTCAGCACCATACGAAATTCATATGACAGATGACACTGCAAAGTCATGCATGTAGAACAGCTGACAGACTTATTCCAAGTGAGGACCAGAGACAGACAAGACTGCCTACTCTCCCCCTTCTTCATTCTACTAGTGATTGACCGGATTATGAAGACCTCCACATCTCAAAATAAGCACGGAATACAATGGACAGCTTGCATGCAAATAGACAATTCGGACTTCACGGATGACATAGTCCTCCTATTCCATACACACAAACAAATGAAGGTCAAGACAACCAGTGTAATGGAAGCCTCTGCATCAGTAGGTCTCAACATACACAGGGGAAAAAGCAACATCCTCAAATACAACCCGAAGAACACCAATCCAATCACATTTGATGGAGAGACTCTGGAATAGGTAGAATCTTACATGTAACTGGTCAGCAGCGTCGTCGATGAACAAGGAGGATCCGGTGCAGATGTAAACGAAACGATCGGCAAAACAAGGACAGCATTCATACAGTTGAATAACGTGTGGAACTCAAAACGACTATCAGCCAACATCGAAGTCGGAATCTTCAATACGAACGTCAAGACAGTTCTACTATTCAGAGCTTCATCTTCCAGAACTACCACAACCATCATCAAAGACGTACAAGTATTTACAAACAATTGTCTACACAACATACTCAATGTTCGTTGGTCGGATACCATCAGCAACAACCTACTTTGGAAGAGAATAAACCAACTTCTATCTGAAGAGGAAATTGGGGAAAGACGTTAGAAGTGGATAGGATATACATTGCAGGAGTCATCAAACTGCATCACGAAGCAAGCACTAACTAGCGATCCAGAAGGAAAACAGAAAAGAGGAAGACCGAAGAACACACTGTGTCGAGAATTGGAAGTCTACATCAAAAGGATGAGTAGGAACGGGAAGGGATTGTCCAGGACAGAGTTCTATGGAGAATGCTGGTGGGCAGCCTATGCTACTCGGTGAGGGGTAACAGGCGTGAAGAAAATAATTTATCAAGATATAAGTACTTAACTAATGAAAGAAGGTAAAACGGTCGCACACGTATCGATTGATTTGATTTATTGTGATATTGTGCACAATTAACTTGTGATTATCTAACATTTAGGAAACATCTATCGCACTATTCTCAATAGTAACTAAAACGAGATAGAAATAATTTATACTTACGGAATGAAAGGCGACGTCTACAGATAAAGACTCTAATTGATGTTCCGTGGTTGGTAGCTCATCTAAAAAATGGGCGATAGCCAAACTACCACGAACAACCATGTCGCGTCGTCTACTTTGGTCCCGGCAGCGAAGAAGATTACGACTTCGTAAAAAGTAAGCTTGATTTAATCGTGAAGTGGTAAGATATGCCGTAGTCGGTTGATCAGAACCATTTTGTATCTCTACGCGTGCTGTGAATGATACATTTTGTGAATTTGGAAAACGATTTTCAGGAGACACGGAAAAAACCAGTTGGGAAACAGTCGTGTAGTAAGGCAGTAAACTTTCACCTCGGGGCTTAGAATCATAGCGACTAAGGTATCTAGATCACAGAAATCACGAAAAAGGAGTATAATCAAGAAAGAGAACAAAATATACAGATTTTAAGGCACAGAAACTTTAATTACTTGTGAACAATGTGAAAATGTTAGCTGTGACAGTGGCTTTGTAAATGGCGAGACCAAAATATGTAACCGCTATCAAACTTTTAGCAACCAAGTACTTTTCTTAAAATTAAATGGTTTTATGATGTAAGTATTAGACGTCACATATAAATGAAGTTTCATAGTCTTAAAATGCGGCGCAAAATTACTTGGATGAAGGGAATTAGTAAAACTAAATCCAGGTGTACGTTGACATGTATCAATTATCAATAAGGGAGTAAATAGACTGTTAGTGTAAACTAGCACAATAACACATGTTATAGAAGAATTTCTGGATGTGAACGATTTAAGAATAGATGAGCCTGATAAATTCGTGCAAAAAATAAAAAATTTTAAGCTGATCAAGGGACGCATGGATTGTAAATGCATACCAGTTACTGTTATGAAGTGGGTAAATAAAAAGATAAATGCCTTTGTTATCTTGTCAAAAATCCACTTAGCTAGTGAGTATTAGAGCAGGTGAGTGGGAGCTTTAAAAAATTCAGCCAAGTGACACAACGGAGTCTGAAATCGTAGGTCGATAAAAACAAAACTTGGAGAATAATGCTGTCGGATATATCCAGCACAAGTGTCCATAAAATAAAACTGCTATAGAAAAGACTGAGGATTGTGAGAATCTAAAGGAAAGGGTATACAGAGAGTAACTATTCTTGGATTTAAACAATCACAAAAGCAATCCTAAAAAGGACTTACAATTTCAAAAAACTCAGCAAAGCTATTTTAACTTCATCATTAGGGAAAAATCCCAGAATAGACTGTGGAAGCGGTTTCGTTGGAGGCCGTTTAGAGGAATCCGAACCTTGCTCAATTGCAAACTGTACAGTCTGCGGTAATTCTTGTCCATTCTGTAACAGAGTGTAATACATTATTCATAAAATATGAACAATGAGTAGAAAGGTGTCTTTAATGTTGACTAAAATAAAATCAAGAAATCTAGAGATTCGGTCAAAGATGTATCCGTAAACAGCCAAGGAAAAATAGAAACCTAACATAAGACCAGTGGGGAAATTTGTTTCTTATTTTGAACACATGACAATCGTCCATATTCTCAGGCATGGTTTGGTGTAACAATTCTAATGTTTTCTACAAAGAGAATAACTTTTCGCTGGCGGCTATGATCAAAATACTTAGAAATTAGTAATAAATACCGACTTACTACAAGTTTAACTCTCGGCTGACAAACACATATAGTAAAATGAATAAGTCATTTGTTAGACACTCGTATACTTGACTACCCAGCTACACTCTAATTGTGAGGTTTGGTGATACTACTTAGTTACTGTTTAGAAATGAAGCTTTGGTAAATGGACTGGAATTATAATCGGTGATCCATCGTTTTTAAACAAACCCACTGGTCGTATTGTTGTTGTAAAGTGTGAAATTAGTGCGCCTTTATAACAAACATTATTTGCACATCTGCCTTCAGTTGTCCTGCATGTGCTTCATGATTTTTCCAAATCTGTTGTTATTACACTTGCTTTCTATTCCCTTCATGTTGTTTTCAATTCAATTTTCTGCTCCCCGTCATTCTACTTTCGATTAGTATTATATACTAACATCTGTCAGCATAAGTAGCATGCACCACAGTATCAGTAGTCGCGGTAAATTAAATTAAAACTGTTATTCAGTTAGTATTTGGTGAAAATGTTTGGACTGTTAATAAGACAACTGAACAGCTGGTTTCGGTCGTCGTAATTTGAGTTAGTACCATTATTTGATATGATAAAATCCTCTCTCTTTATATATATATATATATATATATATATATATATATATATATATATATATATATATATATACGTGTGTTGAATGTACTATACATACTTTAGGTTAAATATAACACAATATAAAGTTAGGTAAATTTTATCTACAATCACTTACTAAACGTTTGATCGTTGGTAAGATTGTATGCAATTTACTGAGCCAGTGCAGTGATTCCAAAAAACCCCGAAATCGAGCAACAAAAGAAAATTGAAAACCATTTCTTCAAGAGGTCACAAAATGTGGGCAATCAGGTATATATCGAAATGCACATATATTACGTGTTTTAACGACCAGTAATACTTGGAAAACTGTAGAGCTTGTCCTACGTTTAATGATATGAAAAATGTTTCAATATCGTTTTGGCAAAAAACGATTGGAAGTTTTGTGTGTGCAGAAAAATCAACTGAAATCTACGATATTTACCTTCTCGAGTAATTTATATTATAACTGTCTCAAAACTGTTAGAAATCTCGAAGATCAGTAGCTGATTGATATCGTCGAAATTCTAAGTTGTGTTTGATTTTCGATGGGGGACTTTATTTTTACACGTGGTCATCAATTCTCATCGAACTTAAATCCTCATTTACATCCTAAGGATAGGACCCTATTTACTTGATTTTTTAACAGTCAAAACCAAATGCAATCGAAAATCAAAAATACTTAATAAAACAAAAATGGTGACAATTAACATCCTTGAAATTTTCGGAAGATGACACCACAGGCTGCGAAACTGACTAACCACCGAAGCGAAGGCCAATGGTCGCAGACAAGTGGACGAGACCATTAGGGCGAAGATGTACACTCACGCTGCAAAAGATTTGTCGTTTGGATTGAATTTTGACATCAAAGGAGTTTCTGTAAGGTCTAATTCAACCAAACCAACGATATCTCGAAGGCCAGAAAGGACAGGTATGCTACTTAGAGGATTCGAGCTGAGATCTATACGTTCAATGGACACTGGAATAAATCCAGCACTCGTTGAGGATAACGGAGAAAAAGCATTCAAATGAGTTAGTCGGTTGTTTGATAGATTGAGAACAGCAAGCTTTAGAAAGAAAATAAAGCAGAAAATTGTATTTAGTTTTTTTAACGGTTTCAAAACAAATTGGATTTTTACACATTGTATATGGCGTGTTCTTCATAATTACTAATGCCCAAACCATTCACCTAAGAGCGTAAAAATGTGGACTAATTCTCATTTAACAGCTACTTTCATTTATCACCCGTTAAACAATGCAACTGAACTGAAGTGGTTTTCCTTGTTTATTGTTTCGCTACTTAACATATGTGAATTCTTCTAATCAATTTCTTTTTAATAAATGAGCAACATATGTTTATTCATAGAATACACAAACAACTAATTTTATATGTTTAAATAATCCGATTATATAAAAAAGCTGTTATGATCTCTTACTATGACCCAGCTACTTTTATTGTTTAGTATTCTTCAGCATGTTCCAAAATCAAAACATGATTGAAAAGAAACGAAATTATATTCCAAATAAACAAAGCTGAGTGGGAATAGGAATAATAATAAGGAAAACGTTGATATATATATAATTTTACACAAGATTCTAGAGTCTTCCCCAAGTATCCACCGGCGCTGATCGGCTAAGAAATGGCCAACCGACGTGCTCTGACACAATCCTGCACGGAACATGCTTTGATCCAATCTATATCCTGCTAAAAAAGCAATCAGTCAAAAGCAACGCATAATTTGGCATGGATTTGATTGACTCAAATATCCCTACCCCATTAACACAATAAGAGGAATTATCAAGTACCAAAAGTAGTAGTAAAAAAGACTACATACGTGGCGAAAGAACGAGTCATGAGGATAGATTGACATGTACAACTGTGACCGACCTTGAGTTATGCCAATTAATTTTTTCAACCATAAGTCACGTGCGAACCCCAATCAAGTAGGCTTTATCTGCCAACGAAAATGAATGACAATGAAGTCACGATTTTATTATCCAAGTCACAGAAACATTTCAGCGCTTTACAACCTTCCAAAGATAAAGAAAACGGCAGTCAGTTTTACTGTTTTTCATGATTTAGGGTCCTTTCTTCCTAATTAGTGAACATGACAAACGAAAATCGGATGTAAAAAGTCTGACATTCGACCATCGTATGGAACGCCATACAATACCACGGAACTAAATCTAACAAGTGTGTTAAGTTAACAGATTGTGTAGTTGTAAGTGGATCTGAGGTGTCAAAAAATTCATTGACTACTTATCGTCATCGCTCTCTTACAACTATCGTTGGTCATTCGTGATTTTAGATGCTTTTTGAGAGTGGGTATTTTAAGTGGTCTTAAATAGAAAATCTTTTTGTGAGGAAAACATACTTTGGAAGTTGTAAACCGATAAAATAGTTACCTGTGCTTGGTTTTGTTTCAGGATAGTAATCAAAGTATGAACCACCGCTTGTTTGTTAAGAGGTAAATATAGTCCCTGACTTAAAAGAACTGGATCCGTGTGCAGAGAAGAGAGATCTAAACTACGCGTAGTAGGTTGATAACGCTGAACAAAGCACTGCTTTAATGCTTCAATCCAAGTTTCTGGCAGAGGAGAGGTATTCGGTGATTCATTTCTTTTATCAGACGAAGAAGGGACTCTGGGCTCGGGGACAATTGTTATGTCGGTAATTAATTGTGAACCCTGACTTGGATCGCGTAAATTTTGGAGTGATTTGCGGTAACTTTGAACCTAAAAAAACACATGGTTGTTACTAATTTTTAATAAAAAGACAGAAAATATCACTTTGTTTAAATTCAGTAGTTGTATGATTAGGTATTTCGAAGATGTGAAAAGAAATAATAGGTACAGACTTGTATTTTAAGCCTTAGACTATACTGGATATAAGTTGGGGACAAAGTGAGTACTCGATCGAAAGTAGAACAGGAGTTAAAATTGTGACTTAACGGTACGTAAATCGACGTCAACACTAAGGAGACAACCTTAACCATCGTAATAACTAGTCAAGCAAGGTGGATGCAGATAATTAAATACATCAAAATTTCGGGACGATTATCTGGCATGCAAGCAGTGACATTTATTACCTTGGTCTGAAGATTAAAAGACCTCAACTTATCCAAATATACTAACTTTTCCATGACATCGGTTATTTTTATTGTTAGATGTAAAGACTTGAACAGGTGTATTTACTGAATGTGGTATAAAGATAACGGACCGATTTAATTTGAATTATGTAAATTACAGGAGTACTTACATCCTTTTGTCTGATTTTTGCATGCATTAGTGCATTTCTTCCTTCAACGCAAGTATTATAGAACCGTAGCTGTGTCCCAACAATGGTGGTGACCAACTGTTGAAGATCCATCATCGGATGATTAGCGCCATGGACAATAGTAATTCTCACCCAAACTTCGCCGGGAGCCAAGCCACTATTTTGGGCAGTGACAACAGAAGCTGCTGATCCACCGATAAGCTAAAAATAAGAACAAGCATTGCGTAACCCTATAATTAATTTTACAAACAATATAGGATTGTTTTCGTTTTCAATGAGTAAATTAATAAGCGGCGGAGTTCCACCTATACATGTGTTTACTAGTCCGACTGTAGCTCTGTCAACTACATTGGATATACAACTAAGATACTGATCCGTTGCACTTTTAGACATCACCCTTCATGAGTAAAAAACAGAGGACATCCTAGAACACAACACTGGATACTAAAATTGATGTTAAGGTAGCTTTTCAAGTCTTTTTAATCTTATCCAGCCTATCCTGTGATTGAAAACCTTGGTTTTTATATACAGTGGAAGCCAGAAAAATTCATGTAGATAAACATAACTTTTCGTTCAAAAGGTTTGTATAAACGCTTTCTTCTTTCTTGACACTTGATCAACTTCCAGTCGCACTACTTTGTATTTTTATTTTTAAGTCGTAAAGAAAGCACGTTTGCAGTTAGCTACTGTCCTAATGTAAAGTTAATCAAAAAATTAAGACCATAAAATGCCAAATGTGTATTAGAATAGTTTTAGGGGGATGATAAAAATGTCAAGACAGGTACTATCTAGATTTGACTGCATAAACCAGCGTTGCCTGTTAACAAAGACCTCTTGAAATATTTTTTTGTCGAAACCCATGTAGCGATACATACTTCTCAGACTTACATTCATATTCATAGCACGTTTTAACATATCCACATTGTTACCAGAAATTATGGACTTGCGACCACTACTGAACTTCCCTCCATGTTCGCGTCGTCGTAAATATTCGTCAGAAGTATCAATACGTCGATCATTTTCTCCATCTAAAAACCAAAAACGAAATATGTAACCACGAAATTAACACTATACATGAGTGTTCCATAATCACGGGTTTATCCTATGGAGCTGAGGAACTAAACTACTTTAAAATAACCCTCGGACAAAAAGTGATATTTAGAAGTCACTGACAGTCGATTGTTTCAAAAACACATCCTGAACAAGTGTATTGTTACCTTGAGTAGTTAGAAGGCTGAGAGTTATTGATAATTAGAGCCACATCATCCAAGCACTTAGGTAAACCAAGGTTGAACAAATAAAATGATATTTAGTGGGACGCATCTACCAAAAATGACTAAGTACAAATGAGGAAATCAAAAGTCACTAGGGAGAAGTGACCATGCAGTCATCTTATTCAAATTCATGGCTGAGATTGCCTGTCAAACAGTCGCGCCGGCCCGTCCTAACATATGGAAGGAAGACATGGAGGCAATCAACTCCGCAGCATCGGCTGAAAACTGGGAACTTGACTCTAAGGCATCAGTACAAGAGGCATGGACTCTTTTCAGGCAGTTATACAATCGGGTAACTCAACTATACATACCCTGGACAGTTCCAAAGAAGAAGCACGGCCATCCCTGGATAGGCCGGGATATTCGACATTTACTAAGACGAAAGAAGAAATGTTGGGACGTTGCTATCCGCCTTGGCACAGCAGGTACGATGGAACGCTACAGATCGGTAAGAAACAAGTGTAAAGCAAAAATTCGGGAAGCTCAAAGAAAATATGAAATGTAGCTGGCACAATATGCACTCAAGCAGCCCAAGAGGATATTCTCGTACGTAAACTACAGAACAAAGATACATCATTGGATTCCCAACCTAATTAAAGAAGGGAGTAGATCTGAAATGATAGAGGAAGATCAGGAAAAAGCAGAGGCTATTGCTGACTATTTTGGGGCAGTTTTCACTCCGGAACCTCCTCTAGACAAAGAACCAGACCAAAATAAAGAGTCAACAAACCAGCTGCTCACCATATACTTCGACCTAAACGATGTGCTTAAGGCTCTTAGCACCCTAAACATGGAGAAGTCAACAGGACCAGATGAAGTACACCCCAAAATCTTGAGACATATTGCCCAATATATCGCAGCCCCACTGACTGTGATATTCAGTATGTCAGTTGACCGAGGTGTGTTACCTATGGCCTGGAAGGACGCAATCGTCACTCCCATACATACAACAGGTCTACGACAAGTTCCATCGAATTACAGACCCGTAAGCCTCACCAGTGTTGTAATTAAAATACTGGAAAGAATAATCAAACGGACCATAACGGCATTTATGGAAACCAATAACTTGCTGAACATGTCACAACATGGTTTTAGAAAGGGTCTATCCTGTACAACGAACCTCCTTATAGCTAAGGAGCTCTGGATTAGTGCGCTAGACAACGGAAACTCAGTGGATGTTGTCTACATAGACTTCAGTAAGGCTTTTGACAAGGTGCCAACTAATAGACTGCTATTGAAGTTGGCAAACCTTGGTATTGCCGGACCTCTTTTAAAATGGATTAAGGATTTCCTAGTAGGTCGTAGACAAAAAGTAAGAATAAATTCCAAGTGCTCCATCTGGAGACCAGTACTTAGTGGAGTACCCCAAGGTTCAGTCCTAGGTCCTTTACTTTTTATAATCTATGTTAATGATCTTCCAAGTATAGTACAGTCTCCAATGTTATTATACGCTGACGATGTAAAAGTTTAGCGAGTAATAACTGAAGACAAAGACGCATGTGCTCTTCAGGCAGACTTAAATAACATGACAAACTGTTCTAAAGAGTGGCTGATGCCTATCAACGCGGAAGTGTCTACGTGCACTTTGAGGATTCAAAGGTTAATAGTTACAACATAGGGGATGTGCCATTACCAGTAGTTCGGTCTCATAAGGATCTAGGGGTGACAGTAAGTCATGATCTTAAGACGACGGCCCATTGCCGGGAGGTCGCAGCTAAGGGGTTTCGAACCCTCTGAACTTTAAAACGGACATTCACTAAGTTAGACACTACCATGTTCACCACAGTATACACATCCTTAGTGAGGACTAAGCTAGAGAATTGCGTTCAGGCTGCAAGCCTCTGTTCAAAAAGTGACTCGGATATCCTGGAAAAAGTACAGAGGGCAGCTGCCCATGCAATTCCAGAACTCCGAGGTTTATCATACAAAGAGCGGCTTGAAAAGCTGGACCTCTTTACTCTGTCTCATCGCAGACTAAGGGGAGACCTAGTTTTGATGTACAGAATACTCAGACATGATTTCGGACCTAACTTATTCTCTCTGTTTCTTCCCACTAGATCGGGATGTCTCAGAGGACATAGCAGGCGAGTAGAAAAGCCAAGAACGAACAAAATACCCGCGGCATACAGGTCTTCATACCGAGTCATCAATACTTGGAACCTGCTGCCCGAAGCAGTGGTGTCCGCACCTTCAACTGACTCTTTCAATAGAAGACTGGACACTCACAGAAGCATACTAGAAAAGGAATAAAATAGGCCGTAGGCCTTCTGTTCTTACTACACAAATCTGAATAGCACATCAGTCAATAAATTCGGACGGAGAACGAGTCTAATCAGTTTTATTGAGAATAACTCTACTGAATGTGTCTAGAATGTGATGCATCAGCGTTCAACAGAGTATAAACTCTGTAAGTTTTGAATAAATAACTCCAAAATTATGGAAATTCAGCCTCTTCTATAGGAGAGCACATATACAGCTGTCCATATACAAATAATCACACATAGGCCACACTATCGCGTAAGTTTGTAAAATATATGAGAAACTCCAAGTACTTACGACTTCTCCACCGATAGTGATTAGACTTATTGCGGTGATTCCCGTGAGGCATAATTGCAGGGAATATGTTGGCGCCCAAAGACCTTAAGGCTGGTTCAAACAAACACTGCCATCTGAAAAATAAACCAATGAGTCTCTCATTTATTAAAACCTTCTTTTGAATAATTTCAGCTTGGTACAATGATTTTTTAATAAATTGATGTCGAAGGGCTCAAAGTTTTCTCAATGAAGTTGATTGGACTAAAGGTGATAACTGGACGCTCCAAAGCAACAGTTCTTAAATATTTCGACATTTGGATTGATCCCATTAGTTATACTCAACACGCTTCAACTGGAGGAGCTCAGCCAAACATTCGCATCATATCACTACTGGGTACGACGTACTACATAATCCTCGCAACACCTAGTCAGCATAGATAGTATGCTTCACGACACATCTATAATCTCCCTCATTTATGAAGTTTAGTTTCGCTGGGTTTTGGATCATCCATTACAAATGTGCCCGCTTCCGGTCGGGTAGTATGAAATAAAATGAAGCTTGTTCTAAATTCTTGGTTGCTATTAAACGCAACTCGATTTCGTAAACGTGGCAGTCTGATCAGCGACTAATCAGAATGAAGGGGGAATTATTATATCCGCCATCTTTGTATGCAATGGCAGCTGGCTCTCTTCGTTCTGTGCGTTTTCCGCTATTTCTTTTGTGTAGCTACATAATTTATTGTTTCAGTGTGCTAAAATGCAGAAGTTAATGTAATGCTCTAAATGTTGGAGCGAATTTTTTTCTGATTTAGCTTTGTTTTCTTGGTTTTTACTACTGCTACTGAAGTCAATGTATTTCTTCAGCCAAGCTGGCTGGTCTTATGTTTTAAAACGATAATTGGTTTTGTTTTGACTTGTTTTTTAGATATCCAAAGACGAAGTTCGTTTTTTTAGCTAAAATAATTGTTGCTGCCGCCTGTGACTCTAACTGTCCACATTTTCGTTCCTAACTGTCATTTGTGATGTCATCGGAAAAATGAAGGAAAAAGATCTCCGGTTTTTAATTTTCTTCAGTATTATGGACAACACTATCCCACCAACGAGTCAAACTAATACTGAGTGTCAAGCAGTAGGGTATATCAGTATTGTATTAGAAAGGACCCAGACTTCCGACAACCATAGACGAAATCACAGGTGCTACCAATCTATTGCAGAGGGTTTGTTATGAAAAATATGCCACGTAGCAGTAATAGAAGGGTTGTACTCAGTACGTCGTGCGCTAAAGCAAGCTTACTTTGGCTATAAAGTTTATAATCGTGTCGTTCAATAATATTTCACGAACAATTATCTGAAAAACATTGCTTACGTAGTTGCAGTTCAAGATGCAGTTATTTTCGGCAATTTTTAAAATATATACTCCTATGACAGGGCATACTAAGGTGCTTTTTGATTAAACTGTAAGCATACTGCGCTCTGCTAACATATCTAAGCACACAATAAACAACTTTGGGGAAGTGGGTTATCATGGTTGTGCAATGTTGGTTGTTATGTCAAGACCACATAGGTTATTCTAAATTCTGGACAGGCCAATTCATTCACTCTTCTTTTGTCACATTTTGACATTGTTAGTTACTCGCTAAGCAACTTTGACTATTTTTATGTGAGCGTACGCATGTGCATTTATTATTTGACTCATCATATATCTGTGGCTAACTTTTGTTTGACTATAAGTATCGGTTCACATTTGGTCAAATTAAGTTGGTTCACATGGTTTCTCCGGTTTGTCTCGCGTCGCCCTTTACTCTTTCTCTCTCTCACTGGTCTCTCACTGTGCTTGATTTTTGTGTGCTTATGGATTTATACTAATCATTAACAATAAATTAAATCTACAACTGGTGTTCTGGCTCTAGAGTAATCTCAAGTAAATTCATAAACCTGGTAAATTTAGCCTGCGTAAACACTCAATCAACGGGATGATATTTATTGGAGTCAGATATAGATGAAATTAACCTCTAGAGTAGCACCTCATCTAAATTTCCACCAAATTCACCATGTCCCTCTAAAGTACTCAGACTGTATTCAGAAAAGGGATACAGGTAAAGCTAGGAGAGATTTTTATCGTTAATAACCCAGAAAAATATACCGAGGATCCTTCATCTGGTCCGACCAGATGAAGGTCATCTCTGTACGATGTGAAGGCACCTTATTTCTCCCTCGTCGTTTACTTTATGATTGCAGACGAAGATTGAGGACTTATATCTGAACCAACGTAAGCTGTGTATTTGAATTAAGTTGTATTGTCTGGGATAAGAATAGTCAAGTTACTCTTGAAAACAATTTTTAGGTCCCTCTACTACCTTCCTAAGTCTCGTTACGAAGGAAATTTACTGATATAAGGTCCCTGACTCCGGAATTCAGACTTGATTCCATATCTCTCGCTCTTTTCTCATTTTAGGGACTTTTATAAGCATCTGTTTGCTTTACATACGATCAGACTCCTGTTGTGGAACAAAGACAGTCTACTCGAGTCACCCCTGCAGATATCTACAAGACATCACATAATGAACTAAGTAAAATGGTAGGATGACTGTGGTTTATATATATACATAAATAAACTGTTTGGGTGACAGACAATCAATGTGGTGAAATATTCATATTGTTTTAGTGATTTTTACTGTCCGACGGGGACTGTCAACTGAAATCCGTCATTGAATGTAATTATTCATTTATGAATTTGATCACTTAGTGTGCCCATGTCAAATATTTTCGAATCTAGTTGCATCAACCTCTGTTTCTGATGCTTACGTATATTATGATGAAGAATAGCTGTCTAGGTGGGTTAGATACACGCTCTTACCCGGTTGAAACCAAACAAAGTGACTGGGTTAAATGAGGGTTCTGAAATTAGTCATAAATTTAAATGTACATCTTTACCACTTAGCTATCCAACCAATAACTAATCAAATCTAAATTACAGCAAATAAGAAAGTTGATAAAGGATGTGAGAAAACTACCAACCATAACAAATAAATGTTATTTTATCCTGTCTTGATAGACCACGCGCAGATTCGTTCAAAAGATAATGTTTGGTTGCTTTATAGCAATTCCAATTCTGGAAGAGTGCTTCAATTCACAATCAAGAAATGCACAATTCCAGTCAACACAAGCAACACAATCAAAAGGAGGGACAGACCAATATGGCTGCCGCCAAGACTAACTATCAAGTAAGACAACATAAATGCAGTTCAGGAAGAAACATGGAAACTTAGTGAAGGCGTAACAAAAATAAAAACTATAATAAAATACGAATATTATCAACTCAAATTAAATCAAAACGAGTAACAAAATGTACAACTAAAGGAATCAATAGGAACCAACTGCAAGTGTACACATGGAGGGATTTTCACACACAAAACATTCAAAATGGATTTTACATGTGATTGGGGAGAATACCTAAAATATGTACCAACTTTATCGATAATGATTGCAGACTTTATTGCTCAATTATAACTGACAAGTAACTTTTATAGTTTGGAAGCTATCGGACCTCAGAATTTCCATTAATATATTTTATCCTGAGCAAATGTTCATTCAGCTTCCTCGCTTTGTGAGTTAGTGGAAGCTCGAAAACATGTTTAGATCACAAGTGTGGATGATGGGTCTATTAGATTTAGACAACAAAGGCACCACTTCGTAGGAACAACATTAAATTATCATCACAAGTCAGCCATCAAGATGGTCTGTTTCCGCGTTATCTGGATGAAGTTTGGAGGCTGTAGTTGAGGTGACAAGGCTGACTCGGGAAGGTTATCGACGCGACATAGCTTCGACATGCGAACATTGTCAATGTGACTTTCTCTTCTTTATAGTGAGTACATATTTTTCTATCGACAAACTTCAGCATGTTTTTTAAAGGTTCCTATGAAAATTACCTCTGTATGTCAGTAAAGTGAGAGTCAGCATAGATAATGATCTGACTGTCGTAGGACTGTATAGTTTAGGGGGTTACATCACAACTACTATATAAGAAGTTTGTCAGTCTGCTGGCACAGAAAAGTTAACAAATAGTGACCATAGTGTTGAATCCGTAATTCCTACTCAGTCTTTTCATGAAGAACAGTTTATTGACAATTTCCCAACCTTTGACCAAACGACAAAAAACAATGCTCCAAGTTCTAACCAATCAGATTCATTTGCAAATTCGGGGTGCTCTGTCCTGAACAATAATTCTAACAACAATTTCCGAGATAAATCTTTCATTTTGGGTTGCCAGAGCCAAAGATCCAAAACATCTAATTAAAACAAAATAGAAACCAAAGCAAACAGAGTTCAGGGCTAAGATATAATAAATTTGTCGAAAAATCAGTACAATGACATTCACAATAATAGTTTATAGTAATTTATACATTTCTAGCCTTCGTGTAACTTACCGCCTCAAAGCCTAACAGCTTCTTAGTTTGCTTCAAAGTCACCAACTGATAAATATCTATACTTAAACAACCTATCGTGTTGTTTATGCAGTGTGACATCTCACAAGATCATACAAAATAAATGAGACCTTACCAAAGTAATCGTTCGTATTAATAAGAATAGGTTAGAAAGTACATATCGTGAACAATACCTCATGGGATAGTCGAAATTGTAGCGAAGTTAAAAGTTATGATGTAAAATGCAAAGCGCGATGAGATATTTGTTACGGATTGTGCTAGTATTAGATAATTCAAACTACGTCGGGCTTGGCACTTTTTGGAATGTTATTTACCCTTGATTAGACAGTCCGTGAAGCGATTCTGAGAGATTTTTATTATCGGATCAGTGAAACAGTTAGAGCGTGAGGTTCCAATCTAAACACACAAACCTTTCAACATTTACTATGGAGGATTAGTGAACATAACTCACATACGAAATACGGGTGTAAATGAAAGCCGTAGCTGCAATGTCCCAGTAGAAGGTTCTCTGCTAAATATTAACCACCCAATTTCAGCTGTTGCACTGAACCCATAAAATCCTCCGTCAAACCAATACATCAAGGAGCGAATATCATATTTTGTGTTCCTGTGTTTATTGAGCAAT